TTAGAAAGCAAAAGAGTTTAAGTTTATTTCTTATACTTCTGGAGGCTGGGAAGTCCAGGGTCGAGGGGTTAAGGGCTTTTTTTTTGCCGGCGGGGACTCTGCAGAGTGCTGAGGTGGTGCAGGGCATCACATGGTGAGGGGCTGAGTGTGTTAACTTGCTAACTCAGGTCTCTCTTCCTTTTCTTATAAAGCCAACAGTTCCCATCCCCTGATAACCCGTTAATCCATTAACCCATTAGCCCATTAATCCATTCATGAGGACAGAGCCCTCATGGTTCAATCACCTCTTAAAGGCCCCACCTCTCAACACTGCCACATTGGGAATTAAATTTCGACATCAATTTTGGAAGGGACAAATATTCAAACCATAGCATTCTGCCCCTGGCCCTCAAAACTCATGTCCTTCTCACATACAAATACATTCATTCCATCCCCACAGCCCCAGTGTCTTAAATCCTTCCAGCACCAACTCAAAAGTTCAAAGTCTCATCTGTGAGCCTGTGAAATCAAAACAAGTTGTCTACTTACAACCATAGGGTACACATTTCCATTCCAAAAGGGAGAAGTAGGCGAGAAGAAAGGGGTATCAGGCCCCATGCAAGTCTGAAACCCAAGAGAGCAGACACTGGATCTTAAGACTCCAAAATAATCTTCTTTGACTCCAGGTCTGGCATCCTGTGTACACTGGTGTAGGGTTGGACCCCCGAGACGTCAAGCAGCCCCACCCCTATGGCTTGGCTGGGTTCAGTCCACCCAGCTCTCCCAGCCTGGTCTTGCATGTCGGTAGTTCTACACTTCTGGGGTCTCAATGGTGGTCCCACAGCTCAACTGAGCATTGCTCTAATGGGGACTCTGCGGTGGCTCCACCCCTACAACAAGTCTCTGCTGGGCCCCCAGGCTTTCCACAACATCCTTTGAAATCTGGGTAGAAGCTACCAAGCCTCCACAGCTCTTGCTTTCTGCAGGCCTGCAAAGTTTGTACCTGCCAGAGCTGCAGCATGAGCCACACCTGGGGCTGCCTGAGCTGGGGCAGACAAAGAGGGCTGGGCAGGAGTCAGGGAGCAGAGCCCTGAGGTGGCGCCGGGCAGTGAGGCTGTGGACAGCCCCGAGGGCCAGCCCTGAAGATGTCTGAAATGCCTTCTGGGTCTTTCTTCCTGTGTCTTGAGTAGCACCTGGCTCCCTTCTGCCCATGCTAGTCTCTTTAGTGAAAGGTCGCTGGGCTACACCCTTGATTTCTTCTTTGGATCAAGCTTTTTCACTCTCTACCACATGGCCAGGCTGCGAATTTTCCAAATTTTTCTCCTCTGTTTCTCTTTTCTCTAGCAGTTCACCATAAGCAGTCAGAAGTCATCATGCAGCAGCCTGAGCACTTTGCTGCTTAGAAGTTTTTTTCTGCCAGATAATTTTTTCTGCTATTCCATCACTCTTAAACTCGGCCCTCCACAAAGCCCCCGGGCCTGGACACAGCTCAGCCAAGTTCTTCGCCATAAAACAAGGACAGCCTTTACTCCAGTTCCCAGTACCTGCTTCCTCAGTTCCATCTGAAACCTCATCAGAGTGGCCTTCACGAGCCATATTTCTATCAGCATTTCGGTCTCAACCACTTAATCAAATTCTGAGGAGTCCCAAACTTTCCCTAGTCTTGTCTCCCAGGCCCTCACCAGAACCCAGGCTTTTTCTAACCTGCTCCTCCACGTTCTTGCAGCCTCTGCCCATCAGCCGGGTCCAAAGCTGCCTCCACATTTTCAGGTATTCGCTATCGGCAACACTCCCCTTCTCAGTACCAATTTTCCATATTAGTCTGTTTTCTGTTGCTTAAAACAGAATACCTGAAACTGGGTAATTTAGAAAGAAAAAGAATTTATTTCTTATAGTCAGGGAGACTGAGAAGTTCAGGGTTGATGCGCCAGTTCTGGTGAGAACCTTCTTGCCGTTGCGGACTCTGCGGAGTCCCGAGTGGCTCAGGGCATCTCATGGCCAGGGTGTCAGCACGCTAACATCTCTGATAGTTCTGAAGTGTGTACTAAATATTCTTAAACTTCATATTTTGCTAGTAAGAAAAGACGGAGGTCTGTGCAGCAATACTAAGAACCCCTTAACGTTTTTTTCCCCTTCACCCTAAAGACCATTACCATATTCCAGGACCTGCTGTTCCTGGGCCGGTATCTGAGTCGATTAAGCAGCACCAGTCCCTCATCTCGCCACTGCAGGGTACATCTGCTTGCAGAAGCATTTTGAAATTCGATTCTAATGTCCCACGGAGGAAGAGGCCTCACTAGTAATCAGGACAAAGAAAAAAGCTTAGTTCAGGATTCACGATCAGAAATTGCCTTAGGTACTGACATGAGCTATAAAGAGTTGAACAAAACTCATTTCTAAGATGCATAACTACCAAATTTGGTAAAATACATGAGATGAAAGTTCCTGGCTTTAAGAAAGAAAAAAAAAGTTAGATTCACTTCTAAATTGTTAAAATAATTTCTCTTAAATCCAACCTCATTTTTACCAAATAACTACTACCAGCATCAGTGATGTGTCGCCTCCACTTAATTCAATGGTTTTTAAAAAACCAACATGCCAAACCCGAGAGTTCCAATGATGAGAAGCCAGAGGTGGCAAGTGATGATCTTCTCAGGAGGAGGAGAATGTTGGTGGGAAAATTCATAGCAAAGGGGCAGAGCCACAGAGGAAAAAAGGAACAGGGGGAAAGATGGTGGCTTAGAGATAAGTGGTCTGTGTAAAGAGATGGGAAGTGGGTGAGGGGAAGTGTGGTAGGAAAGTGAGTAGTTAATGACTATGATCAGACCACAGTTAGCAGTGTGCATGCAAAGAGGTGCTGCGGAAAGTGAAAAGAGAGACACGTAGTGGGAGGTTAGAACAGCAGGCAGGCCAGAAGCCTACCTGAGATGGTCAGAACTTGGGATGCCTGACATTGGCCTCTGATTCAACTGGGCCAGTTATACTTACTTAGAAATGTGCTGGAACCAGCTCCCAAGATGATGAGAGGGATGGAGGTAAGTATTCTCAGCATTAGATGCATTTGTGACTTGATGCATTTATTTATAATTTGCACCTGGCTGCTCTAGCCCAGCAGGCCCACAGGTAGCCTATCTCAGAACAGTGGGAATAGTCATGGGGTAAAAGGACACCTCCTTCAAAAAGAGCCTACACTGAGCTTCTGGAATGACTTCACTTGACCCTCTCTTCAATCAGATGACATCGCTGACAGCTGGTTTTGTGATGAGATTTGAAGCCAAGGACTCCTTTCTCCGATACAGAGTAATGTTGAATATCCCATTTTGTACAGCTATCTGTGTAAAGTTCTAGGATCATGCACTCTTTCTTTTACTTCAAAGTCACTTCTATCTTTTGCCTATGCCTGTTGGCCACTTTCCATCAACCTTTGTCCCTCTTGAAACAACCATACAAAAAAGATTTGGGTGATTTTTAAAATAATTACCAAGTGCCAATGAATGACACCTACAAAAAGTGAAATAAAATGTACCTATGTCCAAGACCGTGAATGTGGATGGAAATGAAGAAGAACTTCCAAGACTATTGATGGCAGTAACCTTGGCTGTGAAGCTCGATTCAGGTGATTCAGGAGTGAGGTTGATTCCAAGGTCCAAATGGTCACAATAATAATCTTTACATTGCTTCTGCCAAGTTAGATTTCTTGGTCCACTTAACCTATAAACAAAACACCATTGTGTTTAGCAAGATATTTTATGTGCTACTTTCTCCTTTTAGTACAAAAGAACAAAATGTTCAAATATTTAAAATTCTAGACAGTTTTTAAAGGTCAGTCTTATTACTAAGGGATATGCCATGGGAATATTTATATTCTGTGGTCATAAATAGAACCATACTTCCCTTTCCCTTTTTTGGTAGAACTGAGATTTTTTTTTTTTTTTCAGTATCCAAATAGATAGATAGCTAACAATGCCTATATTGCCAGAATTCCCCAAACCGTGGCTGTCATCTTGGCTCCTTGGGGCAATTCTTAACACCATCCAAAGGATCCATGGCCACCTTGGCATCCACAGCACAAAAGTGCCAATTCCCAGTATAGCACTGGCCAGACCAGAATCCTGGGGCTACCTGCTTTCCCTCATCTCCTGCTCACTCAGGCACAGGGCAAATCAGCTGGATTTTTAATGCAATTACGGAATCTACTCCAAGGAACAGAATCTCTCAGACACTTTCTTCTTGTGTACTTTCAGGTCAGCCAATGGTGCTTTAAAAAGAAACTCCTCCAAGCTAATGGAAAACTACCACAAGGAAGAGTCTATTTATGTATTGTGACCCCAGGGTTCTGTAGCTGCAAAAGAGAAAAGAGATGTTATGCAGCCAGTTTAACCCTACCAGAGCAGGAAAGAACACCCATAACTCGGGCCTACACTGCTTTGCTGAGAACTCTCAGTTAGAACTCTGACCCTAGACATCAGGTCTCACGCTGTAGATGAATGAACCAATTTTAACCGATGAACACCAGAATTTTTTAAAAAAATATCTAATTGTTTGGAGGTGTCTATTGCTTCTTCTCTCTGGTAAAAATAAAACTTAGATATTTCTAAATATTATCTAAGAGAAGACCTACAAAAACAGCTGCAAAAACACAGCCTCTCACTCACTGTAAAGTATACTCAGTGTATAGGTGGGTGTCTCGTCCTCTGTCCCAGGTGCAGGCCACGGTGCCTTGCTCTCCCTTCTGTATACAAGATACATTTTGAGGCTGTTCTGGAGCAACTTTAAAAAGAAAGAGCAAAACCTTGTATTTGAAATATCACACAGGTGACATTTCAATCGCATTGTTATTATCTGCCAGCAACATGACAATACCTCCCCACATCACCCAATCCCAGATAAGCTGGAAACTATTTCAGATTCCATCAAGTTCAAGGTTGCCTCCAAGGTAAGAATTTCTTCTAATAACAGTAGTAATAATAGTGACTATGCATCAAACACTTGCTATATGCCAAGCCCTGTGATAAATGTTTCATGTGCAGTTTTTCTCAATTAGACAACACAGCACACCATGAGGTAGATAATGTTATTATCCTCATTTTATGGAAGAGGAAACTAAGACTTAGAGAGGTGGAATATTTTGCCCAAGATGACACAGTTATGAAGTGGCAGAATCAAGGCTACGGCCCAGCTGTGGCTGACTCGAGTCCAAGACTTTCCACTCCATATTCTACCATTTTCCCTGACAGATGATCATCTAATACCAGCTCTGTTAGTGATGGTAAGTTAACTTTTTAAGAGAGATGTCCACTCAAATATTAGAAACCTTTAAAATTTAGGGACTCTTTTTTCTATTCATCTGAAATTTGCTGCCAAGGCACTTCTACCCACTTGCCCTAGTCATGTCCTCCTGGGCTGTGCTACCTAAGTCTAATGTCTGCAGGGCATCACTTGGAGCACTGTATAAACATTTTCAAATTGATTCCTTATGTACATATACACGTATATGTGTACAGTGTACATATAAACACATATATGTATACATATATGTTTATGTATTATGTGTTTTTATATATAACTGTATACATATGTATATACACACATTACTCATAACTGGGCCACATATGTTAACTTTTCATCTTCTATACAACTTTTTGTTTATCTCGGAGTTAGTAATTGATTGCCTCATTTTTCCATTTGTTTTATTTTCTTATTAACATAATTCCAAACTTCAAGCCAATTATCTGAATCATTGTTCCACATATTCGGACACATTGGGACTTCTATCGGTTTCAACTGCTTGAGGACCTCCGTCCTGGAGGCTCGTGAACTTTGCAACAAGACAGGCTGCCTCCACACCTGGCACTCAGCTGTCATTCTGGGGCTGTTCATCCTCGTGCCCCATAAATCCCTTCTCCTTTATCCTGTGTTGAATCTCCTTTTCTTTCTTTTTTTTTTTTTGAGACAGAGTCTCACTGTGTTGCCCGGGCTAGAGTGAGTGCCGTGGCGTCAGCCTAGCTCACAGCAACCTC